AACTAATATGGAAAAAATATATTTTTTTAATTTTTAATTTTTAAAATTTTAATATATATATATATATATACATATTTTATCATTGTATTTTTACATGAAATTAATATATACATAATATATATATATATATAAATATATATATATATATAAACAAATAAGATACATTGCAACATAAATAATTAACTTTCTATCTACTTTCCTTCTAATTTTGGAGGTATTGATTTTGGTGAGTTGGAAGAAAAATTAATTCATCCACTTTTTCTTCCTTTATATTTTTCTTCTTTACCAAGTATGATGTTCTATCAACCTTAGTTTTGACGTAAACGATTGACCAATTTTTGACTGAATTGAAGAGAGGATTAATCGAGATCCGTATATACCGGCCGGACGTCCTTGACCATTGAACTAAAATATATATATATATAGTGAAAGTATTTATATTTCATTGGCAAGGACCTAAAGTTAATGAGAAAAAAGATACAGTTTACAGAATTTCGGCTTAATGAGAATCGAATAGACAAGATTCGATCACAAAACACTTGTTAATCATATAATTGAGGTGTGATTAACAAGTGCCACAAAGATAACGTAATTACGTAGTTGAATCGTTTTTTATCGTAAACTTTGGTGACCTGATGTTCAAAGATTCCACCCAATTTCAAAGGATTCGCAGGCCACTTGCTACTCAGCACATAACTTTGCCTACCTTACCCCTCCTTTCATTATGCCATTATCAAATCACGAGTAACTCTAGATCTGATTACCCATAACTAAAAAGGAACGATTATCCTTATGACTAAATAAAGACCAATTTACTTATTTCTTGAGCGATAGTTCCACGGTCCTAGCCAGGAAAATTGTCCACCAAGCTCATCGATGAAAACTTACACAATTATCAATAAGAATATTAATTTCGAAATTTGTGACAAAATTGAGTGGTTTTTAGTTTTTTTTTTAATTTTAAAAAGTCAATTTAAGCTACAAAATTGAGATCAACAAATCTTGTGATCTATGCACCCATTTAATTAGTGGAGAGTTGAAGAGTGTTTCGGCATTAAATGACAAAGTTTTGTTTATGCAATGCACGTTTTATGTGACCGTTACAATGAACCAGTCAAACCATACATACACTCCTTTAAATTAGTGTTGGTTTAATTTTTAAATATTCTAGTAAAAATATTATATAATTACTTTGAGTAAACTTCACTTTTGTCCCTATTATTATCCACATTTTGCTTTTCTTGCCTGAATATTTTTCAATGACCCCTTCTATTTAGGTTGACTGCTGATTAGGACAAGATACGGCCAGAGTTAATTAATTTTAAAAACACAAGTTGCATGTTTGAATATAAATTAGGACACAATACGGCCGATTAATTTTATTTTAATTAGGACCCTAGTTTTATTTTTAATGTCGCCATAGGAATATGACTGATAATTAGAGCTAAATTTTGTGAGCTTTAGCTAAGTCTGTCAAGCCTAAAAATTTGTTTAGAACATGAGTAGAGCCGAAAACAAATTGAACTTGATTTGAGTTCATATAACTCGATTATTTTACATATAAATGAGTCGAGTTGAGTCTAAGAGTAACGCGGCTTGATTATTAGCCATACATAGGAAGACTTCATGAATTACTCAGTCTTTCTCCATAAATAACAACCCTTGAATTAATGTTATAACTTATCAAATACTAGTCATAATCGGTGTTTGAAGGCACCATGAAATATAAAATTCGAGTGTCAAAAAAATCGATCCCACTATATTAAATGATAATTTTTCATTCCTTCATTTATTTAATTATATCATTTAAAATTTATTTTTACCAGTAATTTTTAAAAATATCGACAAAATATATAATTCAACAAATTTTCTCAACATATGTACATTATTCTGTATGATAATGACTAAAATAAAAATTATGTTAAACTACAAAATAATTAAATATGTGATAAAAATAAGTAATAAAATAATTTTAAGGAAAAAATATGTATGAAATAAAATTTTAAACACTTGACCGTTTTATTATATAAATTAAAAATATTTGTTGGTAACGCGGGATTTTTGTATTTTGTTTTCCTATTTTATGTTTGATTGTTGAGATGGCCACCATCAATATGGCCACAAAGACTAGAGGTAGGGAGGGTCCATCCAATAGGATAAGCGACAATGAAAGAGAGCGGTGACCTAAACATCTTATTTTTAGCAAATATATTTTCACTTCCTCTAGACGACGGAAATGCTCTTTGAGGCCGCTTCCTCTAAATTTAACTCATGCAGGTAGAGAGATGGTTTTGCGTATCGACCACGGGTCCAAATAAACTCAATTGGTGGGGGTATTATATGTATAACAATTTCAATTTTATACGAACATAACACAAATTCAACAGCATACGAATCTAAAAATGATAAGGGCAATTAATATGAATAATAATAATTTAGTTGAGTCAATATTAAACACCAATAACCCATTTAAATGACATGAGAAAAAAAAATGAATAATTTATAAATTTTTTGATCTTGCATTATACAATTTTCTTAAGAATTAAATAAAATTTATACAAAATCCGAATATCTCACAATCCGAACGTGTGAAGAGAATAGGTACATACATATATACCCCTGTTCTGTTGAAAAATGAAAAGCCAACGCGGCTTGACAACGGTAACATGCAAGAAGACACATGAGAGTCAGAGATCTACATTTACAAGTTGGGCATATTATAGAGCTGTTTTTTGGGGCTGCAAGTTGTATCACCGTCTTTTGCGGTTAAAGATGTTCAGATCAATTTTTACACATTTTAATTAATTTTATCTCTACTTTGGTTATAAATAGACCATCCAAGAAATAACTAAAAAATTTCATGAGGAACTCTAAGAAGTAACTCAAGTAGTAACAAGTAACAAGAATGAGTTATAAACTCAAACATTATGAATTTGAATCTTGATAACCCAATAGTGATAGGTCATGAGAGATTTATCGCTCATAAATAAATATCTTAGTCTCGACATGGATGATCTACCACTGATCAAACTGAGAAAGAAATTAATTGAGATACGTGTAAGATTACCTAGACACCCTTAATCGTTGAATTAAAAAAAAATTCATAAGAAAAAAATCTCTTATAATGTAACCCCAAAAGAATTATTAAATTTTAAATTTAAAATATCTAAATTTACAATTCTATCACAATTTCAATTGAGCTACTCTTTAGGGATCACTCATCATTACTAAGAGGGACCTCTAAAAAAAGTTAAGTACTATATCGAAGTTTATTAGGGGTTGTTTATGTTTTTTTGATGTAAAATAATAAAGCAAAGTAATAAAACAAGGAAATTTTACCTATGTCAAACTTTTATTAGCTGTCACCGGAGAACAACTGATCTTTGTATCAATTGGCGGACATGAGATCTATGTTAGTTTACGGAAAATATCATGAAATCCAAATTCGCATTTTAAACGAAGAAATCGTTAGATCAATGAATTTCATTAATTTTTTTAAATAGGATTAACTGATTCACTGATCCCTCTTCATTTATGATGCAAATTTGGATTATAGATTTGCGTTATATAGCATCGTTCTCTCTCTCTCTCTCTCTCTCTCTCTCTCTCTATATATATATATATATATATGTCAAGATTTTATTATTCAAAAAATGAAGGTATGGTATCAAAAATATTAATATTATCAGCGAAAGATTACCTAATTTTGTATCAGGCGGGCCTAAGGCAGAATTGGCAATTCATGTGTAGATCAAATTTTGATTTGAATATGAAATCAATTAGTTTATGCTAAAAGATTGCATCTATGAAAATCTCAAATAAAAAGAGCAACGAAGTGGAAGTGTCTTAATATTTTACGAATGAATTCTAATCTATTGAATCAGATTCTACAAAATTCAATTTATACATAGTTATTTTCGATTCAATTGTGATCCGATCCGAATTATGTACGTGAATCGTGCTTACCTTGTTCATTCCACAAGCCTTGTTACTCCAGGGTCAAACTTACTAGCTGGAAATGGGTGCCTCAACAAGGGATCAAAGACAAGTCATGTTACTAAACAATTATTGAATCCTAAAACAATTCACATAGTATTAGACTAGAAGTTTAAATATATAAGAAAACTAGTTTTCTTCTTAAAAAAAAGAGCTAAAGGGATTATTCGTGTTTAATACTAATTTAACTTATTTATAATTTGTGCTCCTTACTTATGTTATTTTCAAATTCGGTGTTGTCTTGAATTCGTGATGCATTTGTATTAAATAATAAAATCAATACCAAGAAAATTGACGAGAGGTGAGGCGAAGGCCAGAGTTGGCCCAATAGTATACCAAATAAAGCTTGGGTTTACTCCCCAAGTTTTTAGAAGACCTCTTAATTTTTGGAATATAATTAGCCCACATAAAAAAAATAAATTTATGAAAATTTTAATCTCTACAAAATGTTCCCAAAAAATTTAACCACAATAAAAAAAAAATTAATTTCAATAATTTGGATGCACGATCCAATCCATGACATTAAAAACTCAAAAATTACAAAATTAAAAATAAATTAAAAAATTACTCAAAAAGTCAAAAATCAACTCATATTTACCCCCTCTCTCCTTGATAAAAAAAAAAATAGAAACAAAAGCTAAAATTAAAAGAAAATGCTATTTGAATTTAATTTGGAGATCTAATGATCTATAATCATTGAATTAGTATTGGGCTCCATCTATCATTGAAATTCATTACTAATCTAATAGTTACATTGAAACCACGTTATCAAGTTCTCCATTAGATTTTCAAATTAGGTCTCTATAATATTGCTCAAAATTAAACTCTTTCTCTTGACAACACAATTAAGAACCCTCCCTTTCATTTTCTCTCTACGGTCGCACATCCTCATCTCTCATAAAAAAATTAAAAATAAAGTTTTTTTTAAAAAATTAATATTAAAAACAAAGAGGCCTCATTTAGTGTTATCACTTTAGGCCTCAAAGCGAATGTGTAATACTAATTATCACCGATCAAAATCCTAGTGAATGTGTATCATTATATACAAACAAATGTGAAACAATGTAATTGTTCACAAAATCTAAAACTCCACTACCTAGTAATTCTATTTGGCCTTGTTAGGTGTGGTGGTGAGTCCAAATCCAAATGGATACAGAGGGTCATAGTGTCTGTCCCCAACATTCATTGGAAGCTGATCAACAGTCTTGAACCACGTCCGAGGAAGCTTGCCAGTAAAACCATAGTCCCCAAACAAAACATCAGCAACACCTTGCCCTTCAGTTCCCGGAAGCCAAGCAGCCACCAGGGCATCAATTGTATCAACATAAGGTTGAATCACGACGGGCCGGCCCGTGATCAGGACAACAACACATTTGACGGCACCACAGACGTTTGTAATGGTGCTCGGGCCAGGTTCGGGAATCGTCAAATTCAAGCTGTCTCCGAATGTTTCTGTATATGGGGGCTCTCCCACTACAACAATGGCGTAGGAGAAGTTCTTGGATTTGACATATTCAGCATCAGGGTTGTGCTTGAGCACAATTTTCGTTTTCGGGTCAACTGTGTTCCTTATGGCATCGAGGATTGTGGTACCTATACATGAAAGTCTTTTAGTTATCTCCAATCAGTTAAAGATAAAGAAGATACACAAAAATGTAGGATGGATTCAGTATTATATTCATAGTTGTTGATGATACCACCATCAAAAAATAGGTTTTTATTCATCACAGCTCGATCTCAAACGACAAGACTTCATCAGTGCCATAGATGGGATGACCAGCAAACCCACTTCCAACAGGTAAAGGTGCACTGACTGACCACCCGGCTCTAGCACAGCAGCTTGGGGTATGAGGAGCTCAACACCTACTGGAATAATGTCAACCTACTTCTAGAAGGTATCGTCACGTCACACTTAGAGAATGTAATCTCTAATTGTCTCAATATTTTTTCTACAAAATCCTAATAAAGTTGGAGACCATGTGATGATGACGGAAGGACCACCCTACCCGTGGCTGTGGGTATATAAACACCAATGCCCTCTCCATGTCGGGGCATCGAACACATTGTAAACCTTTATTTTTCTCGAAGGAATAGAATCATCCCTAAGGTGCAAGTGACTCTATCAGAGTGGATTAACCAATTTTCCTAGCTAGTGAACCATTGCAATATGTGTGTGCATGTTCTATTATCTTTCATTCACGCTCGTACTTATACCATCACCCACAAACTTAAGCTCTTCAGCTTAAGCACTACTATCTGGCACTTCAAGTTCGCTTGATCATCAGTTGTAGTATGTTATGGAATGGTTACCTGCTAAATGACGGAAGTTAAACATTACTAAAGATTCAGGTCATATCGTGACATTGTAGAACAGTTTCAGCTGATTCAATGACGACAAGGACACAAACAACTTGGGTTTTTGAAGAAAAAAGAAAGGGAAGATTGTTTTATTTACCGACTGTGATGTTGCCACTATGTCCCTGCCACTCAATTGTCCATCCACCACACTGATAGCCAATATCATTCGAATGGCTTCCTGCAACAAGTATTTTTGAGGCCTTCTTGGGAAGGGGGAGCAATGGCTCATCTGCAGACTCACCATTTTTTAGCAGCACAAGAGATTTTCTCACTGCTTCTCTTGCCAGTTCTCTGTGCTCCTGTTCCAGAGTGTAACAAGTAGAGAACTCTATTTAATGGGAAAATTTAAACTTTGACCTCTTCAATTTTGATACTTTTCTCACATTGTCCCTCAAACTATCATGTTTCGAAGGATGAAAATTTCGGTTCAAAAAGGTCGGAAATGTCCGAAATATTTTTGTTTCTAAGGAAATTAAAACGAATCAGTGATGAAATCAAAAATCTAATTTTTCGAGGTCTTCCATAATATTTTTTTATATTTCAGTGCATTTGAACAATTATTTTAAAATATTTCAAGATATTTTGGTATATTTTAACCAATATTTTTAAAAAATAATTCCTAATTTTTTTTTTCAATCTATTTTTGACAATGGTCATAACATTTTTTAAACACGTAGAAACATTTCCGTTTTTTAGGTAACCAAAATAATATACGAAAACAAAATTTTGATTTGCATGTTTCATGCATTGCACCATCACCTAGGCCACTAAGTGATGTCCGTTACAAATTTGACCATAAGTTGTTTCACTTTGCCCACGAACTATGTGATTTTATTTTCACTTTTTTCAAGGCACGTTGATATCTTCTGGCCGGAAGACGGACGTTTGCAATGGGGCAATATGAAGTCAAGGGCAATGTGAGAAATTCGACAGTTCTAAAGGTATAGTGGAATCAAAAGCACATAGTCATAGTTAAGGGGTCAAAGCATACTTTATCCTTAAGTATTCAGAACAGAGGTCCAAAAGAATGCAGTTTATGAAGGTAGCTATTAAACTGACCTGACTTCCTATGTACTTGGCCATGCTAAGATCTGCCAATGGGTTCTCAAAAAGACCCATAACAAACTTCACCCGTAAAATCCTTTTCACTGCATCGTCAATTCGGGTCATTGGAATGTATTTATTCTTTACCAGAGAAGTAAGATCATTGATAAATTCTTTGTAGCGGAGTGGCACCATGATCTGCAGCAAGGCAACAATTAATCAGCACTTGGTTAAAGATTGAAGAGTTAAAATTGTAGAACATGTTCACGCGTGAAAGGTGATGGACTAAGAACTACTGACCATGTCAATGCCAGCAGTGATACCAGTTAGAATGGAATATGTGTAATTAGCAAATGGTGGAGAAGTGATCAAATCAATACCTTCCCAATCTGAGATGACAAACCCCTGACACAATTCATAACAAAGTGTCAAATCTTCGTTTTTTTTAGTTCATTTGTTTAAGATGACAGATTCAAAATCCTAGTTAAACATGTTTGAAAAACGGGTTTTACTCTGAAACGTAGAGTGTTCTTAAGATAGTCAGTGATAAGATCGCGATTAGCGTGCATTTTAATTCCATTCCAGCTCGAGTAGGAGACCATGACTGTTGCCACGCCCTTGATGATTGAGTCGCGGTAGGGTGGCATATGGATGCTGAGAAGTCCATGCCTGCTTATCACTGTATTGTTCATATTGATGCCTTCAGTTGTACCACCATCCCCCACATAGTGCTTGGCACAGGCCACAACCTTTTTCCTATGCAAGAATGAAACACCAAAATTGAATCAATCAAGAGGTGATTCAGGTAATGTTTATCATAAATGATCGAAAACTTCATGTTAATTACGATTACAGTATGTATGCAAATGAAAATAACTAGTTTGTGTCAGACGTATTCTTTTTAAAATTCAAAATCAGAATACCATAGCAAGCAGTCCTAAGGATAATTGCAAAAAAACTTACTTTCCACCAACAAAGGGAACACCCTTTACAGAATTAGCAGGGATATCTCCCTGTAATCCCGGTATGACCTCAGTCATTGCTCGGACAATGTTGGGATCTTCGCTGTAGCTTTCATAACACCGACCCCATCTTGGATCTCTACATACCTGTTAACAGAATTAGCATAAGGAAAAAAAGAACATAACTCACAAGAAGTTAGCAATTTCTTGGGAAACAGCCGAGTATATTGGAATTGAATTCATTACCGCGATACAAGGTGCAAAAACATAAGAAATTCCTGTAGCTCTAACTTCAAGAGCAGTTGCAGCTCCAATTTTTTTGACCAGTACAGAGTCTCTGCTCAATTTATTAACAGAAAAAAAAA